GAAGGCTCTTGCTCCAAAGCACTGACTGACTGCACAAGTGGGTGCTAGAGGCAGCAGGCAGAAGAAAGGGCCCAGGGAACCAGCCAGGCAGTGGTCTGCAAGCTCAGTCAGTGACATTTGTGCTCCTGATCCTTCAATGCCAACCTGTATTCCTTAGACAGTGGAAGCACTCTGCATTTGGCTATGGCTTGGTGTGTGCCTGTGAGCGTATGCAGACATTACAGACACCTACACTCCCCCTTCCTGTGAAATTAGAGTGTTTTACAATGGTCTGCTGCTTTGGTTGTTTTGGAAAACAGAGACATATAAATACAAATTTAAGGTGATTGGTTTAAAAGTGTCTACTTGTAACTAACCATGGCTAAACTTGCTGGTTTCACTTACTTGTTTGTGTTTGGGGTATTAGATACAGTCTGAGGCCATGGCCAGCTATATAGGTGCACCATATCTCTGCTGCACAAATAAATCAAACTAAAGCAGCCCAGTTCTTGTAGACTGACATTAGGATAAGTATATCTTAAGAAAGTTCTTATTCAGACTTGGCTTCAGGCAATAAAACGTCATAGATGTATAACTCTAGCGAGTGAAATTTCTAGGGAGCAAATTAGGCTAAAAACATCTTCTAGAGACAGCTAGAAAGGAATCAGACACCACCAGAAAATAAGGCAAGTTATGCAGTAAATGTTTCATTTATTGGATTTCTTCCATTACTATTAGGGTTAAAAGATGGGTTGTCAATAAAAATGGTATATTTATGGAGGGCTCCGTATTTCAGAAGCCTATTTCTTGTCATTCACTCCTATAGTGCTTGATATCACCTCATGATAAAGTGTGAATAATCCCTGCATGAATGCATATTTCTACCCATTAACGATTTTATTATTTGACAGAATTATCTCTAACAAAAGCAAGTGGTACAGCTGTGGTTTAGGTGCTAAAAGGGAGGGATGTTCCTACTGAGCAATAGGCATGACTTGGGAAACAGAGCATGGATTGAGAGCCATTAGGCTGTGTTATGAGCTTGAAAAACAATGCATGCAGTTTTTTGGAACTAATTTTCCAATGTTTCTCCATCAAATGAAGATAGGAAGTCCTCCTTTATCTAGTAGCACACAGTGACCTGGTCAGTATGTGTGACATCTAAAGCCACAAAGAAATCTGGCAGTAGCACCATGATCTGGCTGTTTGTTGATATTTTCCTGTTTAATAGGTTTCTTGAATATTCACGTGTGCTTGTTTCAGTCAATGCAAATGACTGCAGACAGGAGCCATGGTTTCTGTGTTTTCATGCTGTCATCTCATCTGCCCTAGAAAAGATTTCCCCTCTATGCTAACTCTGGAAGAGCCAGTACTGGTAAGACACTAGGCAGATGTGTTTTCTTCCAGTTATTGGAACCTTTTCAATATTGATTTTTTTTTTTTTTGACATTCAGAGCAGATTTAATGATCCAAGATTATTTGTAAACATGCAGATTACTTTGAGCTGTAGACTCAAATCCCAGCCTGGTCAACCAAAGTCCTTTTATCTTTTCAAAATAAATAATTTGAATTTTACACATTGCAACCTACATTGGGACCTCTTGGAGAAGACCATGAAAACAGATTCACGCCAAATATGTAAACATTAGCCAGGAGATCCAGCTGGCATTTAGCAGGCCATGTTTCTCCAATAAAGGCTTGGGCCTTTGGTGAGACATTTAAGACTCCAAAACTTTCTTCATAAAACAGTAAATTTCCTTGGCTGCCCCATGTCAGCCTCTTCCCTCTTCAGTTCATTGCACTGTGAGCTGTGAGGTGAACCTCACGTGGTTTTTCACTGCTGCTGTTCTACTGCAGAAGTCACAGGACCAAACTGTGGGGCCAAAGTGTAAAATGGTGACACCGTCGTCGGTCACCAAGCTCCATAGCTCAGCATTTGGTACAATTGTACCGAGTAGTGAGGGTTACAAAAGCTTGGAGAAAAGCACTTCCACTTCTTCATCTGTGCTAGAGGTCAGTTTTGGCAAGAAAGACATCTCCTGAATGTGGAGCACCTGGCTTTGTTTCTCCAGCTGTCACTTAAAATTGGGTATTCAAACAATAAATCATGTTTGTGACATGGACTAACTTGATTTTTTTTATTCTATTTTTTAAATATTGTGCTTCTTTCAATGTTAAACACTCTACTTTTTTTAAAAATCCAAGGTATCATCTGAGAACCTACTACTCAACAGCTGCTATTGACCCCTGGAGAGCTCTCACTTCCTTGACTGTGAAACTAATTGTTACATAAGGAGAAATGATACAAATCAGATGCACAAGCTATCCAAAGCGACTTGTACTGACTTCGTTAAACTGCGTTGGTTCAGTAACCATCTACAATCCTTGGACTTCGCAGCCACACTAGCTCTGGGCTGCAGTTTGGAAACCAAGTTTGCAGAAGGACGAACTCGATGAAAACTCGAGAGCAGTTTCTTGGCCCTTCACGGGACTCTTCTGAATCCACCAGGGAGGCAAAACCCCAGCTTCCAAAATGTGCCCAGGAAACACCTTCCACAGCTGGGGCACAGTCCCTCGCCCTTCAGAGCCACCTTCCACACCCAGGACCACCACTGGCACTGTGGCAAACAACACTGAGCTCCCTTCTAGCAGCACTTACTCATGTGAGTAACACTGCTTGCACGAGCAGCCCGGGTGTGGCATCACCTCCACAAGTCACCTGTCAGTGATGTGACTCACGCCTGTGAACCTCTACGGAATCAGCCCTTCTTCTACAACCAGCTTTGGGCAACAACTGGCTCTGTCCTGCACACTAACTTTTGATGGTGCCTACTAAGTAGTTAGCAACTACGCTGGGACTGAAGCAAAAGCATGCTTGTTTAAAGAAAAATCCGTAGCAGATTGTAAAAAGATCCTGGAAAAACAAAACAGAACTGTGCAACTGTTTTTGTTCATTTGGATCAAATTATAGCACATGGCCCTGCAAAATAAAGAGGAGTCTGTCACATTTGTATTTCTAATCTCATATTGTTTTGGGATATAAAGGCATTTAAAATCAAGTAGCAAACAAAAATGGAGAATATTTGTTAAGGTGTCACTCTGCAAGGCACTAGTTTGCAGAGATAGTAAGTATATAATCAGGGGTAAATGGGGAGTGTGCATGCCCACAAACAGTTATTTAGTACAATTGCTGAAAGTACAAAGCAAGTTAGTCAAAACACCAGTGGAAAAAGAAACTGTTCAATGCATTTGTACATTGGGTTAACAGTGAAGTATTTCATTAGTCATGTTTTCACTTGGTGTCTTAAAATAATCCCTTTTCTGTCTCCATATTCCCACTTAGACATTGTTCACAGACTTATTTATTTATGAAGTCTGAAGGTTAGTCCCTACCTGCTGAGACTAATTAGCCCTGTTCTTTGTGTCCTATGCAATCCTGTCTGATTAAATGTACACATTTGTTTTACTTCTTTTCATGCTTCCTTTCACTCTACTTCTGCTTTACTGATTAATATTAAAGTTGTAAGTTGCAGTGATTTTTTATTTCTATTTTGTCTGCATCTTTCCCTTTAGTATGCAAATTTCTATGTGAACTTTTTAATGCCTGAGAATTTGTGTTAGCCTTGTCGATCTCTGTATTATTATTTTTATTATTCTTTTTATAGAAGACAGTTTAGCTGAAACCCCCAAACTCTCTAAATATTGCATGACAAATTGGCTTTGTTTTGGAAACCCTATGTGCTGAATGACCCTTAGCATGAGCAGCAGGTTAGATTTCTGGAGGAATGTTTGGATTATTTAGTACAGCCTGTCCCTTGCTTTCAAACACCATTTCCATTAGGCAATTTACTAATTCCCATTGAAATTACTGTCTCCCCCCTGCCCCCCTCCCCACTCCCCTCCTTTTGTTCCTTGCCCATGTTAAAGTTTCCAATTGACTCGTCCATTGTTACAATTTGTCACTGCTGGAAGATCAATTTGTTTTCCCCTTCCCCTCGCCACATTAGATTCGGGGCACAGATGCCATTTCTCGCATCCGCATGACTCTGCTCCCCGTTTCGTTGCCGTGCGGGCAGAGCCCCGCGCGGTGCCCCCGCAGCCCCCGGGCCGGACCCGGCGGCCGGACCGCGAAGCCCCCTTCCCTTTGATTCCCCCCCAGCAGCAGCGTGATGTTTACGCCACCACAACTTTTCACTTCTGAAGTCTGGGAGTCCTTGATTCTCCGTCCTGCCATGCTAATTAACTTCTTAGCAGTCACATTCCTTTTCCTCCTCTCTCTCTCTCTCTCTCTTTTTTTTTTTTTTTTTTTTTTTTTTTTTTACATCAAGGACCAGAAAACATTATGCCTTACTATAAGATAATTTGGAAATATCTGATCTTCAGCGAGTGATCTCACACATTTTCATCCTGCGTGTTATAACCATAATAAATGCAAAGACCCAGTGCTGCTCAAAAAAAAAAAAAAAAAAAAAAGGCTTTTACTATATTCTAGTGTTTATTATGATTGGAGTTTCTTACCTCCAACGAGTGGCATGAAAAATGTTAACGGTTTAAAAAAAGCACCCTCCGCACCACCCTGCTGTCACATGTACCCAAATAATAAGGGCACACAAACATCCTTCAGGAGAACCCGGGCTGCGGGGGGATGATATGTTTATTAATGTCCAGAATGTAAAAGTTGGCGCTCCCGGAGCGCGGAGTCAGGGACACCCGTTCTAGTGTTTTTCCCCTCGCTCCCCCCGTCCCGCAGCTCTGAGCTACGGCGCACAATTTTTGAATTTTTTTTTTTTTTTTTTTTTGCCAACCTCTCCCCACTCCCTTTGCGTGCCGGCCCCCCCAGCGGCGCCCCCGCCCCCGCTGCCCTCCCCTCGCGCTCCCGCTCCCATGCCAAAAAGGATCATTGTTAGTTTCCTACTTCCCCCACCCTCCTCCTCCCCCTCCCGCGCCCCAGACCTGTTTATTTATGCAGACGTCACCGGGGAGCCCCCGCCCTCTCCTGCATCTCATTAAGTGCCTGGTGTGTTTCTCGCTCCCTGTCAATAATCCCGGATCCCAGACTTCTCCGTTCCTCCGGATTTCGATCCCCCTTTTTCTATCTGTCAATCAGCGCCGCCTTTGAACTGAAAAGCTCTCAGTCCAACTTCAACTCACTCAAACCCGAGCGGCACAGGCTCCCCATATCCGCGGCGACTGCCCCCCCGTCACAGCTGACTTCTGGGCTTGGTTTGTTGCATTATTTTTTTTTTAACCCCCCTCCCCCCCGCTGCTCCCCCCTCCCCACGGTTTATATATTTTTTATTATTATTAATTTTTCCGCGAGTGCGTGCGCGGGTGTGCGTGTGCGCGCAGTGCACGCCGAGCAGCTCCCGGGAAGAAAGAAAGAGAAAATCCCGAAGAAGGAAAGGAAGAAGCCTAAAGTCACTGGTGCAAAGGAGCAAAGAAGAGACATTTCCCTCCCCTCCTCCTCCCTCTTTTCCCCTCCCCAGGAGGAAAGAGAAGGGGAAAAAAAAGAAACTTTCACCTTGGACTCTAATTTTTTTGGTGCAAACTTTCCCCCCCCCTCTTCTTTTTCCTTTTTCCCCCCCATTCCCCTCCTTTTTTTTTTTTCTTTTGTTTTTCCCCTTCCCCGTTTTGCAAAATTGCTGCTGGTGGGGTGAAGCAGGAGGAAAATGCCGCAGCTGAACGGCGGTGGAGGGGACGACCTGGGCGCCAACGATGAACTGATCTCTTTCAAAGACGAAGGGGAGCAGGAGGAGAAGATCTCCGAGAACTCCTCGGCGGAGAGGGATTTAGCTGATGTCAAGTCGTCTCTCGTCAATGAATCAGAAACGAATCAAAACAGCTCCTCAGACTCGGAGGTACGGGGGAAGCCCCCCGCGGGGCCGTTTCGGGGCGGCGGGCGGGCGGGCGGGGGCCGCGCTGTGCCCGGGGCCGGGGCCGGGGGCGCCGCGCCGGGTCCCGCTCCCGCCGGCGCCCAACTTTCTCCGCGGCACCAACTTGTAACGATGCCTTCTGTTTTGTTCTGTTTGTCTCCCCTTCCACCTTCTCCCCGCACCTCTCCCTTCTTTTTCGCCTTTCATTCCTCCTCTTCTCCCTTCTCCCCCCCACCCCCCAAAAAACATCCTCCCCACCCCAATCACCCCCTTCCCCAACTGCCCCACGCCGACCCCCGGCTCGCTCCCAGGCGGAGCGGCGGCCCCCGCCTCGGTCCGAAACTTTCAGAGATAAATCCCGGGAAAGTTTAGAGGAAGGTGAGTACGCGGGCCCGGCCGGCACCGCCGCCCGCCCCGCACCGCCGCCCCTCCGCCGGGCGCCCGGCTCCTCTTTTGGGGACACTTGCTAAAAAAACTTTTCCTTCCCCCCTTCTCCTCCCTTCTCTTCCCCCTGTTGCCCCCTTCCTTCCCCGCTCCCGCTCGTGTCTCCCCGCCATGTTAGCTGCGAAGAGGCAAGATGGAGGGTTGTTTAAGGGCCCACCATACCCGGGTTATCCCTTTATAATGATCCCCGACCTCAGCAGCCCGTATCTGCCCAATGGATCGCTCTCTCCGACGGCGAGAACGGTAAGTGCTTTTATTTTTTCTCCCCCTCTCTTTCCTCTGCCCCCCCGCTCCTTGCCCGGCTCCCGCCGCCGCCGCGCTCCCGGTGCCCCGCTCGCCCCGGCCCTGCCGCCGCCCCCTCCCCCGCGCCGCAAACTTTCCAAACTCCGCGGGCCGCGCCGGGAGGGGATTGTTTACACTACGCCATATTCTTTTTTTTTTTTTTTTTTTCCTTCCTCCCTCTTTTATTTCTTGTCTTTTTCTTGTTTGTTGTTATTTTTTTTTACTTTCAGTTTTGCGGGCAGGTTTTTTTTTTGAGCCCTTGTAACCTCCGCTGCGGGGGGGGTGGGGAAGGAAAGAAGCAAACAAATTCCAAACAACGTCTATTTCAGTCTCAAAACAAAACTGGAAACAAATTATCAAAACCCCAAGAAGTTTGGGTTTGGTTCCCCCCCCCCTTTCCCTTCTCTCCCATCTCCTCTCCCCTTCCTTGGGGAGGGGAGTTATTTTTTCCCTGCCGAGCCTGCGATCCGCTCCTCCAAACTCCTCGTTTTCCATGGTGATCCGTCGCCTTCTGCCCTCCTCCGTGGCGGCTGGGCCGGCTCCCCCTCCCCTTTCCTCCCCCTTAACCCTCTCCTGCCCTCGCCCTCCCCGGCCTGCGGGAGCGGCGATTTCATTGTGCCCCTTCGGGCCGTGGGTGCCGCGAGTTGTGCCCGGGCTCAGCCCGGTCCGGCCGCCCCGATCCGCGCCCCGCGGCGTGCGGGGGCCGAGCGCCGCTGCCCTGCCCGGCGGGGCCGGGGCCGTGCCCGGGGAGCGGCTCCGTCCCGGTGCGGAGCGGGGGGAGCCGCGCTCGGGGCACAGGGCTGAGTCCGGAAACAACTCGCCTCGCTTGGCTCTGGCTACAACAACAGCAGCGCAAAAAATAATCAGACAAGTCGAGCAAAATTCCTCTTGGAAGTATGCTGGCAGGAAAACAATTTGCTGAAAGCGTCCGGTTTTTTGTTGTTGGGTTTTTTTTTTCCTTTTTTTTTTTCCACCCCCAACTTGGGGTTCACTAGCAGGGGGTGCAGGTCTGCGTGTTCCTGCAGCTACAGCGAGGTTTAGTCCAGATCCCAGGAAACTTTGGGGTCTGCTGGTGGGTTTGTAGTCCCAGCTGTTTTCCCCGCTCGTAGTGTCACCCACGGTGTGCTCTACTCTGACATCAGATTTCTCAAGTGTCACCTTTCCTTTCCTTTTTTAAAGAGTTGAAAAATTTTTTCATTTTGAATGGGTAAATCCACTGGGACTTCGAAACACCACTGATTCCTACTGATGGCTTTAGCGTTGCTGTTTTGTTTCTTCGGGGTGTTTCTGAGTCTGAAGCGTTCCCACCATCACCATGTGTGTTTATACACTTTTTTTTTCCTTGTGGTAACACGAGATAGCGATTTACAATAATAGATCTACTGTTGGGTAGATGTTGAAGCCGTACTAATGACTGAGGGCTTGGACAACTTCAGTATATCAGATCTACAAGTGTTTTAAAGCATTAAAATATTAAACATCGGGTCAGTCTTGTTTTCACTTAGTAAAACGTCAGTAGACACAGATTAGTAAATGTAGAGTGACAGGGAGGTTGTGAGGAAGGTTTTCTGACTTTGCATATGTTTAGGGCTGTGGCAGAGTTTTATTTTGGAAGCTTGTGAGGTTCTTTTTGTGAGGAGGTGATTTCTGGGACAGTAGCAGAGGGGTGACTGCAGTTTGCAATTGTAATGATGGGGAGGGGAATTCAGGGGCTGAATGCATTAAATTTTTTCTTTTGAATATGGTCGCCCACATGTATATGGATGATGGTGATAAATTCCAAATTCCATAAGTACCAGAATCCAGATGGCAAAACAATCTTTGTTCCGTATCACTTTGTTACAAATTGTGAAGCTTTGTGTTCCTTTTTTTTTTTTTCCTCGTTTTTTACCTTCAATGCATTCCACTGTTCCAAGTGCAGGCTAATCGGAAGCACACCTCTGCTGCCTTTTTCTTAAAGCATTTTTCTTGCAACAGCTCCAGCTCTTTTTTCCTCATTACCTTTATTACAGATCCCTTTTCCCTTAGCATGTGGGGTAGGATCCTTCAGCAGTTAGCTGTCCTGGAGCATTCCTCCCCTTGCTCCCCCACCCTTAAAAAAGGCCTCCATAGGAATGTTGGGTTCCTGTGAATTAAAGGTGCTGTACAAAAGCTTACAGGTTGGTTTATTGTTGGTATAGCAGGTGGCCTGCTTGTGTTATCAGATGAATTCTGAAAGGATATTTCCACACTCAATAGGCAATTTTCTTATTTCCACATCCAGGCTCCAGCAACCTTCTCCTATCTTCTTAACCTTATTCTTTCACATTCCGTATGCTTGTTTGTTTGCCTGCCACTTAATTATAGCCAGGAAAAATTAAAGTTGTTTATTTAGGCCTGAGAACGGAATATTATAAAGATTCAGCGGGATAGCTGTTGTCTGTCACACACTATTTTTAGGTGGATTCTAGTTCTCTGCTGTACCAGCTTTCAATTCCAGATGAACTAGATCTTTCTCTTTCCTGTTTGATTTTATTTTATTTTTAAATACGCGTTGGAAAGGTATAGATGGTTCTGCATAATTACGAATTTTATTTTTATTTATGTAGTTTTTCCTGGAGCCATATTTGTTGATTGTCAGAGCATGCAAGGTAAAGAGGTGATGCAGATACGTAGCAAAATTGTTTTTCTTTTCCTTTTGCTGTTGTACAATCTTAAAAGTCTGTGGGTGTGGTTTTTTTGTTGTGTTTTTTTTTTTTTTCCTGGATTTTTTTTTTTTTTTGTTGCTTTATTTGGGGGTGGAGTGGGATTATTGTGTTTTTTAAATGTACCTGTAATTGTCTGTTCAAGAGCAAACTTGTGGGCAGCAATTTCTCCTTTACTGCTTCAGGAATGTGAAGAATTATGAAGCATCATAAAATCTGCTTATGAGGAGTAATCTTTTCTCAAGGATAATGCTTTAAATACTGCAAACTCTTTATCAAGGTTGATAGGAATAATTTTATTTTTACAAATCAAAGATTTTTTTTGCATGCTAATCTTGCTAGTGATAGAATACTGTAGTGTGCTTATGAGAATAGATGTTGTTAAGTAGAGATCTAGTCAAATAGTGATGAAGTGATGCATCTGGGAGCACCATTCCATCCCTGCACTTGTGGAGGGACTGGGGTGGCTGCATGTTATGGATAATAAAGGAGACTGGTTTCCTTTCAGAGTTGGAAAACACAGAAGTGGTGTACTTGATTTTTAGCTTAAATTTGGAGCTTGGTTAATGCTTTTGGTAAGCAAATAGATGCAGTGTAATGTGAGAAAGCCCTGCTGGCGGATGCTCTTATTTTTACTAGTGTTGTTGCATCTTCCTTTCCCCTAAGTTGTTGCTGGCTGAGTAGGACTGTAGGGATAAGCTTGTGTTTGGCCCCGAAGTTTGGGAGCTGGGAATAGCTGTGGGGAAGAGCAGCCCCATCGCCTTGATTTTTATGTTTAGGAGGAAACATTTTTTGTTAATTGCCTTGAGAAATTGGCGTTTTTCTTTATCTACTGAATCAAACAATGTAATCCTTCGCAATACAAAAGCTTTAGTCCTTGGGGTGTGAAGGGTTAATGGTGGTCCTTTTTTTTTTCCCCTCCCTCCAATTGTTTTGACAACACTTTTCAAAGTGTGACATTCCAAGCCCTTGCAATACAATGTAATATTACTGTAATTACACAGGTCATTACATTTTAAATAGAGAACAATAAAATGCTTATCGCCCTGAAAAAGAACAGGTGTTCTTGCCCTTCTTTGGTGTTTATGCTAATTGTTTTTCATCTCCTTCAGAAATATTTATGGCTGGAGTGTTAAGGTTTCAGTCTCGATGTGACAGTATTAATTCTTTACTAATCTTTATGGTTGAGGTTTAATGTCTGCAGTATGGATTATAGTATTAATGTCCACCAACTAGTTTAATAATGTAGATACAACTTAATATGTCAGCACTTTGGTACTTTATGATACAGAGCTATTCAGTGGAGAGTGAATTATTTGCTTTGTTTAAAAAAAAAAAAATGAATGGACATGCTTTTAATAAAGTTTCTGGACTTGTGTAAAAACAAGCTGTTAAATAAGAACTGATGATCCTGTGGTGTAAATCAAATGGAGCCTCCATAAAAGAAACTTTTCTCGTGCTTAATTAGGTAGATTGCTGAATCACTCTGCTATAGCATTAGCATAGCTGGTATACTTAGGCAAACAGACTGTTTGTTAACTTACTTGCAGTAAAGAAGCTGATTTATTTTTAATGCTATGCTTTTTTTGCTTTTTTTCTTTTTTTATTTTTCTTTCTTCTTTTTCCTTTTTTTTTTTTTTTTTTTTTTTTTTTTTCCCTTGATAAGATTTTATTCTGGAGCAAGTGCTGCACTGCTTACTCCATCAGTTTCTCTTCAGGGGGCTATGAAAATTAGTTAGAGAAAAGTTTCATGTTTCTGGGACGTTGCAAAACAATATAATGCAGTACTGTTACTTGAGTGTACAGGATAATTGCAGGACTGCACTTCATTAAAAATAATATTTGCTTTGGAAATCGAACAATTTTAATAGGTGCACCAGTGGCTGATCTGTAGTGAAAAAAAATACAGTAGATGCCTTTCCAGGTTTTTTGAATGCATTCATACAGCGACTGAGGATGTTGAATAGGGTGGTGTGGTTTATTTTTTCCCTTCTTCCCCTTCATTTTTTGTTCAAGTAAGTATGTGCTGATTTGTCAGTTGAAGATGGAGGGGGGGAAGGAATATGTTGCAGCTTTCACTGGCGCTTGTAAACCAGAATGTAGGTAAAAATGTTTTAAATTTGTCAGGACTTTCGTGAGTGGGCCCCAAAATCAGATAAAAAATGTGGTGTAGAGAAAAAGGACAGCTGCAGATTTTTTGTGTGGACGTGTGTTTCTGTACCATGACTAAAAACTCTAAGGACCTTTTCCCAGCTGTCTGGGAGTTATGTGGAAGTT